AATTATATTAACATTCCCTTTCCATACAAAAAAAAAAAAAAAAAAAAAAAAAAAAAAAAAAAAAACACAGAGGTGAAAAGTTAAAGTAGAGTAATATTGCTGTGCACACAGTTTTTTTTCCCCTTCCCAATGTTTTTCTCCTCAATGCGTGCAATTGGTAATTAAATATATTTCTACTGGTCTTGTGGCCATATGCCTACAATATGTAAAAATACATTTGCGCTTTTTTTTCCCCCTTCATTCCTTTTGTTCCCAGTGCTGACTGCTGTCAGAGCGAACCATCCAGATTCCCGTGTGCTGGTATCCATGGGCTCTGTCTTGCCAAACTGCCAGTCTGGAGCGTCACACCTTACTGCCTTTAAAGATTGCCCTGCAGAGATAGAGGGAAATGGCAATTTTTACATGATGCAGTCTGGCGACCCAAGAGATTTGAAGTCAGAACTGGTGCCAAGATTTACCCAGGAGAGCAAGCAGAGGCAAAAACAGAGAACCTGGGCCAAGAGGAAAAAAATGAAAAGAAGAAAGAAGAGCAAGGCTGGGGGATGGGAACCTACTGCCAACACTCTCTAGGGGTTCTCTCAAAAGGCCTGCACTGAAGGCCCACAGTGGGTGAAGGCCGAGTTGTCCGAATGTGTGGGTCCTACAGGAAGTCAAAGGGAAGAGGTCGGCTTTTTTTGCATGCCCTAAATTGTAGTAGATTGCAGAATGTAAATGAGACAATTATTACACCAACGCTCATCAAGCTGGGCTGGAAAGACTTCAATAGCCTGATGAATATGCATGCAAATTTGTTAATTAAGTTAATTATTCTGCTGAAAATTCATTTGTCTTCCAAGGACATTTTCCCAATGATTTTAACATGCTAGTACCATTAGTCATGCTCCATGCTATTTAACATTACTTTTTGTCCACTTTCGTTCCCCGCAACCCCCATTTTTTTTTAATATTTGGAAGTTTTAAAAACAGTTGATAGGTTCTTGTAATTGACCCCTGCAATGTTGGAAGATGCCTAGAGCCAGCTCAGTAGGCATCCTCAGAACCACGTTTCAATTAAATATTTCCTTGAAATATAAAATGTCTGCAGAATGTCACAATGGTGGGGAGGACAAGAGCTCTATCCGGGATCATTAAAGCTAGAATTTGAATGGTTCTCCATAGTGATTACAAGAGGTAATCTGTCCCCGCTGTGGGCGATTTCCCAAGCTCCATGCGTTATTTGATGCACGGATTTACCTTGCTGTGGGAAGTGTGGTGGTTCCAGCCTTCTCTCTCCTCGCGCTGCAAGGCGACCCCCAGCAAGCCTGTGTGTTCAAACGGGAACCAGTACTGTGGCACTTTTCTGTCACCCGTGAGGGCCCAAACCTGTTACCATGGCAACAAAGGGGAATCGTGTGTTTAACATCACATCTAAATGGCAAATTGAGATATTTGGGGAAAAAAGGAAAAAAAAAAAAAAAACAGTTGTATTTAATTTTGTTAGCCAACAGTAGCCCAGAATTATAGTATGATGTGTTTTTAATACAGCTGCGTGTTATTTTGCTGGGTAATGCAAGTTTACTTCATTGAGACCTTTATCATGAGCCTCAAAAATTGGGATCTTTGGGTACCCAGGTGAAGTTGTATGCAGATTCTTGATCTTAAAGCACATAGACATTCAAGAGGCACCTTAAATCTCCCTAAATCCACTTACAGTGATTTTAGCTTCCCATCCCTATTCAAAAGTCTGAACAAGAGGTCTGATCTTTGCCAGTGTTTTGAGTGGGACAGTAAGGTAGAATATTTGAATTGAAGAGTTTTCCAGAAAATCAGAGAAATATGGTTGTCTGCATACATTAGGCAATCACCACTGTTAGAAAGAGAAAGATTAATCTATGCATCATTCCAGGGGAGAGCCATATGTATGCTTAAAGGCTTCTCTTAGGGACGTTTATTTTCTTTAAAAAGAAGCTAAATTCAGATTCTTCCTTCAGTTCATAAAAGAAACTCCAGTATGGCTTCACAGTACAACCTGTGCCTTCCTAGTTAGGATTGATCAGACTACCTTAGCTAATGAAAACGGGATAAAATAATGAAGAAAACAAAACTTCACTGAAAGAGTTAAAGAAAAATTAATTGGCATGCCATCTCTATTTTATACAGTAGGAATGGCACTATGTGTCACATAGATCGTAAACCAATTAAGACGATATTTTAAACGCCGTAATTTCTATAATTCCATCTGCTTTACAAGGTTTAATTAGCGAAGTTACAAAAGCCAAATATATTTGAATATTTTGAAAGCAGGCTGAATGGCAGAAACTGAAAAGGTCCCATAAACATTTAACTACGCAACCATGTACAATTCATAAGAATACACTTTACATGTACTTCCAAATGATACATGCAGATTTTTCAAAAATTTACCAATAGTAAACCATATCCAAGGGAAATTATGATCATATGTTGCTAGGTTGTGTAAATTAATTCAGGTTTTTTTTTCTGTTTTTTATCACTTCCAGAGATTTCTTCTGATGAAAATCCCATACCTGTCATTTCATTTTGATTGTGGGCCCAATGAAGTGAGAGCTACATAAAATTAGGTGGTATCGAACACACTCCTTTAAATGTTCTTTCCACAGGTTTCTTAAAGAGGTTTGCCATTTTGCAAGTGGAAAGAAAATTTTTTAGATACATCCGAAAGCGTTTTTCAGTCTACCACTAAACTATTTGGAGAATAAGAGTACACTGAGGTGTGTCAGCTCTAAAATTTGAACACAAATTTAAGAATTCAACCCATTTCTCCACTATTAAAAGAAAGTCTTATTTTTGAATTTTAAGAAATGAGTCAAACATGAGGTCTTCCACGTTCCTTGGTTTGGATGTTGTGCTGAGCAGCTGTGCTTATTCTGGGCCTCATATGGCCTCAGTCACCAATGACTGACAGAACGGTGGTGACAATGTGACGTGTAATATTCTCTCTTCTCAAATGCCTGCCACGCCATGATTGTGACTCAGTGGGTGTCCAGCTCTGTCTTTCCTTCCTACTACACATCTGACATATAACAAGGTGTAATTAATTTTTTTATATGCTTGTCTTTTGCATCACCAGAAATACAGTGAGTATCATTTATGATTAAATCTACCCATATTCCATACTGCTTTTGTTTCCATTTGTGCTGAATACTATCGAGTGGGAAAGAAAAATGACTAATAAAAGAAAAGAGGAATCAGGCTTATGCTGAACATGCATTATCACGCTGGAAAACTAACATTGATTGAGAATCTACTCTGGCGGCACATGTTTTATGCACATCATATCGACAGACAAAAACACAAAACCCAGAAAGATTGAGACTCATGCTCAAGACATGAAAAGGAAAAAATGTAAAATTCCAATAAGCCAGCAGTAGGCATGCGATCTGGAGCCAGAAAACACACCTAGATTATTGGTTTTACTCCAAAGCTTTTAAGTATTCTAATGTGCCACTCTAAAAACTCACCTTATGGTGGCATGGTGGTTAAGGCACTATAGTTTTAGCCCCAAATCTGGTGGCTTGAAAAATCACACTAGGCATATTCATGTGGGTTCCCAAAATCCCAGAAGGAAAATGGATGAGAATGGACTGTGGTGTGGAAAGTCCCCCTCGGGAGTGATTTCTCACTTTCCTTCTCTCTGTGTCTCTTCAGCCCACACACATGCTCCTATGGCAAAAACCTGAAAAAGAAAAAAAAAAAAAAAACTTACCTTGAAATGCCACAATACTAGGGGTTCTCAAAAAGATGATAGTAAATAATTATTATGAGATAATGAGGCATAGATTTCAAAACTTTCTGTACCAAAATAAACTCGTACATCAATTCCATTTTGCCATGAACTGTTAGAAGTGCCCTCATAGAAAATACTTAATGTATTTATTAAATACTGCATCTATTTTATTCATAAAATATTACCTAGACTTCCCATCTTTTTCTTTCTTTTATTTACTTTTTTTTTTTTTTGGAGAGGTTTTCGCTATAGGGTACATGCGCTCGCCAGACAGACAGAGAGAGACAGAGACAGAAAGCGAGAAATCACCCCCCGGGGGGATGGCCACGCCGCAATCCCTTCTCCTCTATTCTCCTCTCAGGATCTTGGGCACGCACGTACACGTGCCCGGTGTGAGTTTAAGTCACCGGGTCCGGGACTCGAATCGCGGTCGACTACGTGGGAGTCCAGCGACATAGCCATTACGCTAACTGCTGGTCCCTAGACTTCCCATTTTTATTTCATTTTATTGTATTAATTTTCACTCTCCATGGACTTCTTTTAAAAGGACTCTTTTCTACTTTGATATAGTTTAAGGATTTGTTTTTTGGTTTTTTTTTTTTAGGAAAAAAAAAAAGAAACCTTCTCCCAAGAAGTTGGTTAAATAGATGTTGTTGGTAAGTAGTTGAGCAGTTGCAGGAGCATCTGTCCTGCTTCCCTCATCTGCATGTCTCTTTCTCCTCTTTCTCTCATCTGCAGGTCCTTCCCACTTGCTTGGGCTACCGTCAGAGGGCAGGGCTACCATCAGAGGACAAGGCTACCAAAGTCTTGGAGAGGAGGATTTATGTCTAGCTTAGAGGAAACAAATGCTTTCTCTTTCCTTCTAAAATAATGAGAATTAAGGATCCATGGAGCTCCCGAGAACCACCTTTGCTGTGGTGATAAAACTGAGATATTTCTTGATAAAAGCCAACATAGTAGGAAGCAGAGGAGAGAGAGAAAAAGAAAGAGATACATGGAATCATAAAGTTGTCAACTCAAAGGGACTGAACTTAGGACAGGAATCTAAAAGTTCTCTCTCCATTTCTCTCCCTCTCTACTTAGAGTTGGATAGTTACCCTAACATAGGCACCATGTAAAAGTCAGAAGAAATATTATGCATATATATATGTATATATGTGTGTGTAAATATCTATATATGTGTGTGTATGTATGTGTGTATATATATATATGTAGAGAGAGAGAGAGGTTTTTGCCATAGGGCATGTGAGCTTGTCTGAGAGACAGAGAGAGACAGCGAGAGGGAACATGGGAAAGCGAGAAATCACACCCTGGAGGGATGGCCATGCCACAGTCCCTTCTCCTCTGTTCTCCTCCTGGGATTTTGGGCACACACTCACATTTGCCTGGTATGGTTTTCAAGTCACCAGGTCTGGGATTTGAACTGTGGTCAGTCATGCAGGACTCTAGCGCCTTAACTATCATACCACCTACTGGCCTCCAAATTATATTTCTTAACTCCATGATATTTTTCATTCAAATCTCCTGAGGCAAAAGTGAGTCAATATCTCGAAAGAGTTATACATGCTGATTTTAAAAAGGTCCTCCACTGGCCCATCTGTGTCTATGTCCTATTTAGTCCTTGATCTCTATCTTCCAAACGTGTCAAAAATTATAATGAATCATCCATCCACCATAACAATGTATCAATTGTAATTCCATGCCAGAGTTGAGTTTCTGTACTAAAGTCACTGGCCACGAGTCAAACTGAGTTGTTTTCTAGCCCATGTCTGTATGACATTTGGAAGTGAACACTACAAACTGCTAGCCCAAGAATACACCTTGTGTCTTGAACTTTTTTAATTGCCTGCCTCCGATAATGGATTGAGAGAAATTTTTGCTATAGGATGTTTACTCACCAGAAAGACAGAAAGAGAGAGAGACAGAAAAAAAAGAAATCACTCCTGGGTGGGTTGATCACACCACAATCCCTTCTCCTCCAGTTTCCTTTGGGGATTTCGGGCATGCATGCACATGCACTCAGCATGAGTTTTAAGCCACAGGGTTAGGGACTTGAACCATTGTAGGTAATGTGGGAGTCCAACAACATAACCATTGAGCCATCTGCTGAGCCCAATAATGGATTTGACTTTGAAAAATTGTGTTATATCTACAGTTGTAAAGATCTATAAAGGATCAAGAAGTTGATTGTGCCCTTAGAAGTTGATGTTGTTCTATTTTATTGGGGATATTTGAACCAGAAATACAGTGAGCATAATTTTATTATTAAATCTATTCATATCCCATACAGCTTTTGTTTCCATTTTGTTGAGTACTGTTGAGTGGGAAAAATGGTTCATAAAGTGAAAGGGGAAACACAGACCTAAGTGTTTTTTTACAGAATTATTTATTTAAATTTTATTTATTATTACTACTATTTTAAATTTGCTGTAGGGCAAATGCACTTACCAGAGAGAGACAGAGAGAGAGAGAGAGGGAAAGTGTGAAAGCAAGCACCAAGTCTGGGACTCGAACCACACTCAACCATATGGGAGACCAGCACCTCAACAACCACAACACCTGCTGGGTCCCCAGACTTATGTTAAGCATACACATCATTCTGGAAAACTAACATTTA